TATTATAAGCGAAATAATTTTAAGAATTTTGAGATTTTTACTTTTAACATTTTTTTAGTGTTATTATTGTTAACTTTTAATTCGAAATATTTTATAATTTTCTTTATTGTTTTAAGTTTATGATTTTATTTTTTGTTTAATTTTGTTAACTGGTAGAATAAATTAAGAAATGAATTACTATAAGGTATCTAATTGTATAATTAACGTCTTCTCTTACAGCACCCATATATATTTCGACAGATGGGGATAGGCATAGGCGTAGCCAAGAGAGGGAAAGGGGTAATTCTCCTCCTTCAGAAATTGATTACTTTTTGTTAATATCATTTTAAGCTAATAAAAAATATCCTCCTTTGTCCCCAAAAAATGTATGCATTTATCTTTAACAATAATATGAAAGAAAGAATGTAAAAGTTAATTTTTTTTTAAACTAAACAATTCATACTCTTTTGGGAAAAACATATATATATAAAAAAAAGGGAAACCAAAAGTGTTTTTTTAAGAAATGAAATATAAGCCAAAGATAAGTCTTAAGACAAAAGTGAAATGTATTATAATTACTATTAATAGATCCATAAAATTACTAAATAATATAATATATCAAATATAATTTTTTGAAGTGAGTAACTTTTTATTTATATTAATAAAAATAAAATATAATTATAAAATTAATTATTGATAAAATTATATATAAATTAAATAAAAAAAATTAATGCACAATACAAACAGTGGAATATTATGTGTCGTAGATTTACAGTGTATCTAATTTTATCTATTATCGTATGACAATCAAATAATTTTTACCAATAGTGAATTATATATTTTACAGAAGACTATAAAATTTTGATAAGGATATCAGAAAATATTTTTTAAAGACTGTAAATGAAAAAAATAATTCTATATTTCAGTAGCATCAATATATCTATTGTGAGATGAATCTTATATTTATTATCAAAAACATTGATTAGTAAAGTTTATTTAATATTAACTGTATTATATTCTATAACTGTCAAATATGTCTGTAAAAGTGGAATTCTTAATATTTTATAACCAATTCTATGTAATAGAGGAATATCAACTATATGTCTACTTACTTTTTATAAAGAAATCTCTTATACTTGTTTGGAATAAATTATTACCATGCTTTTGTAATAATGCTTATAGGTAATTTATTATATTTTATATAAACTAATAAAAATATATTTCCTATTTGTTCCATGCCTATTTTTTGATATAATCTCTTAAAAAATTTCTTATATTTTAAATAAACACAATATATATTTTTTTATTAAAATTAACCTCCTATCTTGTAAAAATATTTTCTGACTATATATAGACTAAGAAAACCCGGCCGAAAGCTCGCCCAAAATGGGGTCTGGGGGCGAAGCCTCCAGAATTTTTTTAATTAGCCCCCCCCCCTTTAGGAAAATCCTGGCTACGCCTATGGGAATAGGCTTATAAATAATAGTAAAGATTTTGGGAGGGGGGGGGGAATATAGATCTCGTCGTTTTACCTCCAAATTACTTTCTCTCAAGTAGAAGCTGGCCAGACTAATTTAAATTTTTTTTTAAACTTGTATAAACCTGGTTTGCTTTAACTCGTCCCCTACTCTCTTTTTTTTGAACTGTAAATTTTCTAATTAATATTATATTAATTTTTTTCCCTCACTTTTTGACTGATGAATTCTTTACTTATATAGTCGCTATTTATGATTATGATATAACACATGACAGTATATATTTTTTTAATCTTTGAATTTAAAAAGTATTCTTTTTAAAAAAATATCTTAAATACTAAAAATTAAACTTTATTTAAATGAAATCTGTATCATTATCTAATTTAAATTTACTTTGATATCCCCAACAATGAATTTGACAGAATACGAGCAATGGTATTAAGCAATTTAGAAAAAATATTACCATTTCTCTAATTTTATCACAATCCTTTTTATAAATCGGTAATATTTAATATGGATTTGATTGAAATCAATTTTTCTAAAAAAATGTTTTGACTGTAAATACGGAATCTTATAAAAAACCTTAGTCGAATTTCATTTTTTTAAAAATAATACTACTTTCTAAAAACAAGTAAGAAAAAAATATTTATCTTTCATTTTAAATAGGTTTATAGGATAATTTTCTTTTAAAAAAAATATAACATTTCCTAGTTCGCTATTTCAAATAGTAACTTGAAACTGCAAATATAAAGATATATTTTCTTCATCAATTTATATAAATATATTTTCTTCATCAATTTATATATCTTTATCTTTAGTGGTAATGTGGTTAATGTATTTTTTGTAAATTTAAATATTTCTTTTTAATTTAAAAAATGCATTTCATCTAGAATAAACATGCTATGTAAACTTTTTACAATTTTTTTTTTAAAAATTAAAAATATAGTGCCAAATAAATGATTAAAGTTGGTAAATAGTCAAAATAGCTTCCCGAGCCCATTTATTTTGTAGACGATCTGAATTTGCAGAAAATATATTCCCATATATGTAAAATACCTATCCAATAAATTTCATACAAATTGGTTACAACTTTCAAATTCTTTTTAAATTATATATTAAAATTGCACCGATTGACTGAAATATTAAAGGTAATACCGCTGGTAACATAAACATATGGGTGATAATTTTTAAATATGGAACTTAAAGTACAGAAAGGGTACAGGATGTAGAATATTTTAAACAAATCAAACTAGATATTGTTTTTATTAATAAACATAAGCAAATAGGAATAGAAGCATAGGCGTCGACTATGTGGGAAGAGCGGGATTCCAGCCCCCATTTAAATATTTTATAAAATATATTGGCGCATTAATATTTTAAACATAAATTTTTACAGCCTTCATATAATTTTTTTTATAAGTCACCGCCTTTATACAAGTATAAAATATATGGACATAGACAGCTGAAGCTCTGGCAAAATAAGGCCGCTGGTCAAATAAAATGAGATGTAGGGGCATAGCCTTCTTATAATAGAAAAAACGCTTATGAATAAGGAAAAAATTATGGAAACCCCGAAATGAGGGAAGTGTTTAAATTTTACACCAAATAGATTTAAAAAAATTGAAAAGTATGCGGTAAGGTAAAATTAACAATATTTATAAATTATAATTTTATTCACAATAAATATTTCTTTAGTAGGTTAGACGGGGAATTCTGCCCCCCCCCCAAATTTTCATGACGCTATGCATGAAGAATATTTTTCAAATCATAAACAATGATATAATGATGATTAGACTGACCATTCATTCATTTAAATGTATATCAATATAGATCAGCTGGTGACACCATTTTGGTTTCTCATAAAAAACAATTTGCATTAAAATGTTATGAAAACTTTTTCCAGCTGTTTGTATTCAACGACGCCTCAAAGCGCATCTTAATGAATGAATAGCCGATAGTCTATCTGTGTCATTGATCACAACACCTTAGATTTATAAAGAAGCTATTGATCTTTAAAAATTGTTATTTTTACCGAATCAAAATTTTTCCTTCAAACAGAAAAATATACTTAAATTAATTAGTCTGTTATTTGCAATGTTGAAAGAATAGCTACAAATTGAAGCGCTTTATTGATAATTATTTCAAATAATCATAGGCGTAGCTTGGATATAGGGGGAAGAGCACAATGAGGTTGGTGAAATGTAAAATTGTTCGGTTGGGCATTGACACCACAGACCAGGCAGAGACTGATTTAAGGGCAATTCATATAACCTAGGGTATAGACCTGGGGCGGGATCGACCTCTTTTTGAAAATCATTATTCGATTAAGTTCCCTTTATCGAATTTCCGCTAAATAAAGTTTATAATTCCTGAACCTGAATTAGGGTGAACTGGTTTTTTCCCCATAAATTTTATTGGAGGTCGTCCACATATTGCAGTACTTTGGATATATTTTTTAAAGATTAGTTTTAGGTTTTCATTTTTTTATTATTAAAATACTTTTTTTAAAAAATTTTCAATTATAATCATTATTTTAAAAAATTATTAACCATTACTTACTTCTTTTTCAGAATATTGTTTAGTGATATATTGTACACACTTTTTGAGGAGAAATGGAAATGTAATAGAAAATTTATATTAGCTTAAAATGATATTCACGAGACAGGGAAAGTTTCGAGGGGGAGGAGAAAAAGAGGGGGTCTAATTTCTCCCACCCCTTGGGTACGCTTATGTAATAAACACACGTCAGATCGTAGCGTGCAAATGAAAAAATAATTCTTTAGTTAAAAAAAGCAAATTGTTTGTCTTAGCCTAAAATTAAAAATTGTATAATAAATTAATTATGGATTTAACAATTTTTTCCCCAAAGTTTCGATTTGTATTTTTTTGTCCAATATATAAAAATACTTTCGCTTCTTTGGCAAAATGTCTAATTTTACCGGCATTTTAAAACTTAATTTTATAGGCGAAAAAGATCCGTTTGTGGATGTGACTATTGGAATGAAAATAAAACTTTGAGTAAATATTTTTTAGTCAATTAAACATACCAAAGATATTTTAATAGATTCTGTCAATTCACAAATTTTTTTAAAAAAAATCTGAAGGGGTCAGGATGAAAATAGCGTTTTTGCAGAGTTATAGCAGAATTAACATATATAAATCACATTATGACAAAAATTGCAAACCAACATGACTGACTCGCACCTGCAAAAACGATGACATATCTCAGAAATGGTCGGTCCAAATCAATTCAATGACAAAATGAGGAAAGAAAGAACGCTACAATTACCATGGAGGAAAAAAAATATACAAAACATTTTCTATGCACACATCAACTCTATCTTATGAAAGAGGGGAATAGATGCTCTTAATTATAAATATTATTAATTTGCATAAAAACACCACTTTAATTATCACACATCTTATATCAATAATTTAATTAGAGATAGATGCCTAGCTAACACATGAATTATTATTCTTCAAAATAGAATAAGGTGTAGTATTTTTTTTAAAATGAATCTCCAATATTGAATAAAGTATCTCCATTATTGGGGGGGGGGGATGCAAGATTGATAAAAACAATAGGATTTCGACACTACTATATTTACATAAAATCATAATTGAAATTAATTTTTTATATTTAATAAAAGAAACATAAATATAAATAAAATTTAATACAACAAAACAAAATTTTCTAAAAAAAATTATTTGAAATAGATATTTTCTTTCTTTTCGTAGTGTAAGACATTAGATTCGTCTTGTTTGGTGGATGAATAATATCCCAAATTTTCTGAATCGTCGAAAAATGGATTTTCATGGGTCTGAGTGATGTTAACTAAAATGTTTTTAAAAAAAATATATATAATATTTTGCACATAAAAGATAGAACTTAAAAATGTTTTATATTTTTTAAAAAAAAACTAGGAAAGATTATGATTAGAACTATAAACAATATCACATTACGATAAAAAAAAAGAGGCAAAACTAATTAGAAAAGGGGGAAGAAAGATATTAAATCTGTCGATGGAAAGATATTATATACATTATATTTCTTCCTTTCTGGCTACAATTTAAAAAAATCTAGAAATTTGGGCATTATAAGGGCTAGGCTTCGATAGAGACCTGAAATCCCAATTTATCTCACGAATTACTGTGTCGGTTGCAAATTTTTTTTAGATAGTGGCCCACTCCATGATCTGAATTTTTTAAAAAGGTTATAGGGAAGAAATCTAGCTTAAAGTGTTTATTTTATTCCTTACATTGTAATATCGTTTAAAACCTTGATTTTAAAACTTTTCTTATTTTTTATTCATTCTATAAATTATGATATTCAATTAGGCAAAAAAAGGAAGAATAGGAAGGAAATATAACATTAATGTTTTGGGCAAAAGGCAGAGGCTACATTTTATTGATGAATTTATCGCCTGAAAAAGTTGAAACTTTATGACTCGGACCAAAAAAATTTATGATATTGGACCCAGCTCGGGCTTAAAAAATTAATAAAAATTCTGAGCTGAGCAAAGCTGGGACTGAAAAAAAATTGAACGTGCAAGACTCTAACTAGAGAATAGTTGGTTAATTAACAAAAATGAAAAGGATATGTCATAGAGATGCTATTCACGATATAGAAGCATCTCCAGTTTTAATCAAATTTATATATATTTTTTTAAAATGATATATAAACTCCTTGATATACATCATAATCAGAGACAGATTAAAATTTCATCAAATATTTTCTCTATATTAAGATATTCAAGAGGTTAAAATAATTCATAAAGGGAAGAAAACAACCGAAGAAAATTATAATTATTACAATCGAAAAATGTATGAAAAAGAAGTAGACTTTAAATGAATAAAGATGATTTTTTTTAAAAAAAAATATATAAGGTAAATTATTTATTTTTCAGAGAAGTTTGTGTTATTTTCCTTCAGATAAATCTTTTTAAAAAATAAATCCTTAAAACAGGGGAACCTTAAAAATAACCCTTATATTTCTTTAAAAAAAATGGCTTTCATTTTTAGTTAAATTTAAGATATATTTTTTTGAAATTAAAGAGATTTAACTAAAAGAGATATAAAATATTGTAAATTTAAAAAAAATTAAATAAATATAAACGCATATTCGTGGATTTGATTCCTCGACTGATTCCAGAAGTCAAGGGAGCATTCTGTCGCTTAGAAGTCAATTCTCTAGCTTTTTCCCTCTCCCGGTAAAATTCTTTGTGTCTAGCTCGGACCATAACCTTGACTAATTCCTTCCTTTGGGCGTTCACGAGTAAGGATTGTGTATACGGCAGACGTGGCGACAAGGAAGAACACGGGTTTTGAAGGCTATAAAAAAAATTATTTAAGAAAGCAGATCAGCATATTTTAAATATAAATAAATTAATAATAGTGTAAACATAGTAAAAAGACTCAATTTTTCAATTGTTATCGTGGAGTTGAAGATTAAAACTAGATTAATGAAAAAAACCATCCTATATACATCTCTAATTCCTCTTTTCGTATTAAATGCTTATTTATTTTTCTTCCCATTTCCTTCCTCCACCCCTCCTAAATATTATTTCAATTAAATTATCTCATTATTATAATTATTAATACTTATAAAGTCAGTAAAATAGTTTTCAAATATTTTTTTACATTAGGTTAGAGGAGTTATCGTGGGCGATAAAAGAATTATCGTCAGTGATAGAACAACCAGTTATTGCTTTAGTTTCAATGTGGTCAGAATTAATGAAGTCAAAATCTACCGTTGAATTTGTAGGGTTAATATCGTAGCTATCAATGTTAGGAGAGATCATGGAGTCTAATATTAGGGATGGATGTTCATAATAATTCTGTCTGGCCATATCTTTAATCTATAAATATCAGCAAAGGGATTTTTTTTTAAAATTGTTATAAATTGATAGGATAGAATGTTGCCCGCATAGAAAATGTCCGAAACATAGTGCCATTGATTATAAAAAAATATATGTAGTTATAAAAATCGAAAAAAAATAAATATATTCCAAATTAATGCGTTTGTAATTTTGCGTTTTATTAATTTAGACCCAACTCATAAAATTAATTACATTACTGACAAAAAATCGAAATATAAAAAAATTTTAAAAAAAAATGAACGAAATTATATATTATTAAGCTATGAATTGTTATCTCTAATTAAATTCAAAATTGTAACAATAAAAATATTTCCAAATCAGGCCATCTAAAAAAATGTTTCCAAATTAACCCGTAATAAAAATTAGTTACAATAACTTAACCCACCGAACGTGTTGACAGATTTTCGGGTTTTGCAGGCCTCTAGTTTTTTACACAAGATGTAATTATCATTACTTTTATTTAAAAAGCTTAAAAACGTCTTGACAAACCATCTATAATATTTTGTATCTCCAATGTAGACCAAAAAAAAAGAAGTGTACATTTTTAAAAACCGATTTGCGTTAAAATTAAGATATCATCCCTTTTCAAGAGCATTTCAATTCTTTTAGATTAAATAAATATTCATAACTATCTTTTTATAATCTAAGTATATTCATGTCCGTGGATATTTAATGCAGGTTATTTTGACGGAATGTCTGTCCGACCGGCCAATAATTTTAATAGCTTTATTTTAATAAAAATATTAATAAAAAAAATAGAGCTGTTCTATCACTAAAGTTGGATAATGGCTAAAATTCGGCTAATTCAGCTCAATCTAGAAGGGGTGACCTAGAAAGATAATCCGTTGAGGTCAAGGGGAAGTTAATTTATCTCCGTTTTCTTCAAATTAAGCTATAATTATTTTTAAACCCTAGGCTGAGAAAAAAATTAGGTTTAACCTACTATAAATAGACAATTACCCAACTATATCTATCACTAATTTGTTAAAGGTGAATAAAATAATTCAAAGTTGGAATAATATACAAACTTGGGCCGTCAATTTTATCTTCTCAATGACCACTCTTTTCAATGGCGAATGAATGTGTTTAATAGGCCCCTTATACCAAACATCTGTGGAGTCAATTTTAAACAGGTGGGGAAATGCTTTGATATAATGATCCACAAGGGAGAAAGGACTGGCTTGGCTCAAATCCGATGACATTTCGGGATGAAAGAATTCGTCATTGAAAGGAATCGACACGTCAGATTTCTGTTGGAGAATGATGGCAGAACACTCGATGTATTTATTACGAACACTACATCTCCATATAATTTCGTCTGGCTTTACCTGTAACAAAATAAAAATAATGAGGGAAAGAAAGATAAGAATTAAAATTAATATAAGATTAGATATAAAAAAATAACGATAGTAGCAGTCGAAAGAAGGATGTAAGAAAGGAATCAAGAAATAAACAAGGGAATAAAGAAAAGCCAGAAGAACGAAACAGGTAAAAAAAAAATTAACGGGAATAATAGATGGGATTATGTATTTTTTTGTGGTAACTACTAAACCACACAAATAATAATTATTATACACTTATTTAAAAATAATTCGTAATACCCTTTTAATATTGTAAGTGAATCCCATATTATCTATGAACATGGGCCTACCCCTCTGGGTAGCCGTTCTAACGATCTCAAAAACATTAGACTCCGTGCTAGAAATAAGCGTACATTGGCTTTTTGTGTCCTTCTTGCCCTTGTTCCCTTTGACTTTTATGAAAATATCGGCTTCCATATTTGGATCATGATCATCGTTGCTAGATGCGTAGGTAGGCGGCGGATAACTGCTATTAGATTTGTAAAGAAATTAGTTATTGTTTTGTTTTTCACATTAAAATTTACTGTAAAAATGCGAATTTTGACTGATACTTTAATTTTCGTAAAGATATTAATAGAAATCTTCCAAACCACTGTTTCTATTGGCTCAATTCAATTTTACTATTGGATTCCTCAATATGTGAGTTTGGGTTGGGTCTATGTGAAAGTTTTAGAATCAGTTAAGAAACAAAATCTTCTTTCCAAATTTCGAGTAACAAATAAATCATATATTAATATAAAATTTTGGTTATTGCAATAATAAAATACTTCATTAAATAAATTTAATAAATTATTTTTTTAAACCAGAATATAGTTTTTTTTTCAAGGGGATCTTTTTTTAAAGAATATGACATAATATATTATATTTAAATAAATAAAGATTTGATTGATAAATCCTCAAAACGGTAAGTTTGAATGTAAAGCAATAAATGTATCATTTATAAAATATTGTATTCCTTCTTTTTAGATTTTGGTAAAAAATCTCATACATAATTAGGACATAAAATTTGCAAAGTTGACTGAATTCGAAATGTGGTTAGCCATTTTATAGAACCGATATTTTGTGTGAGTAGCGTTATATAACCATGGTTGGATCAACACTCTAATTCGCCTGAATATACAGGTGCGTGCCGAGAAAATGCGCTAGGTAAAAAAACCTACCAAGTCAGAAGATAGTTTTCGGATAAAAACTCGGTTTAGCCGTTCGAATCGGCAAAAAATAAAGACGCCTAGAGCTAGAGTTGTCAAAAATCCAGAATCGGGTCGATTTTCCAAAACTACCCGATTGAGGTTTTGCCAAAATAATGTTATGTAAGCATCTAGATTGGCAAAAGTGTTGTTAAACTATTTTAGCCAAAAAATATTATGCAAGCCGGAAAATTTTGAGATAGGCTATTTAACCAAATCCTGTGACTTGCCTAATATTATTTTAGCAATCTTAATTTAAAATTGGCCAAATCTAGCCGTTTAAGAACATTAGAGGTCTAAGCCTTTCTGCCATCTATGAACTAAATCTCCAGGCTTACATAATATTATTTTGGCTAAAAAAAACTTAAATCCGGTCGTTTTTAAAAATCGACTCGAATCGGGCTTTTTAATTACCCAACTAGCACAGATACCATTTATGAAATATAATTCCAAAAAAATGAATGTAAGATTTTTTTTTCACCACCCAAAACATATTTTTTGATTTATTAATTAATAAATGAAAACTTGTAGTCGTAATTTATTTTATTGGTTTAAGTCTGTCATAACAAAAATAAACCCAACAATAAATTTCTTTTTAAAGTAAAAAATACATAGCCAAAAATAAAAAAATTTTCTTCTTTTCTTATCTTGTCTAAGAATTTGCAAATCGCCTAGGCAAATTTGAATAAATATGTAAAGGCAAATTATTTTAAATATTGGCAACTGGCATCGATTAAAATTTAAAGTGTCAGTTTGATATAGGCAGTTATTTTTGTGTTTTGTTATTGTGATTATCATTTTTCCTTTACCTAAAATTAACCCAAAAACAATAATTATTTTATAAGGCTTATTTCTAAGGCATTCAAGATTCTACCAAAAATTTTAAGAATTAATTATTAATAAATAAATAATTGTAAAATATTTTAACATTTCATTTATTTTTATCAGTTAAAGCTATGTGAAAAGTAGATTCTACATAGTCCTGCAGGGCCATCCCGTCAGCTTGGCCCTGGCAGTACCATGAATAAAATAAAGACCCATGGCCTGAAAATATTAATGTAAACATAAATAAATATTTTCAAGTTTAAGATTTCTTCCCTATAGGTTCATTCCATTACAAATCAACCAGTGTTTTGTTTTGCAAACTGATATAAATCAACTGATGTTAAAATATGTCCAGTGCTGAAGGCTTGTTTGAACATGCTGCTAATTTTTTAAATGTATGTCCAAGGCCATCACATAGACATTTTCCATGGGATGAAGCTGAAAAATGCCATTCAGCTACTATGCCAATATCTGATTCATGATAACAGATTTATAATTAAAAAATCAATTTTTATTTTGTGCACCTGATCTGTCAGAGTAAAAATTAGTAAAAAAAATACAGAACCTAGAATTAAAAAGGTTACAATCTCCATTATCTAAATAAACTTTTGCAGACTTTTGGTTAAAGAATAGATAAATGCATAGAGATTTCATTGGAAAAAAATATATTTGATTTTTGCATAAAAATATATCACAACACTCTAAAATTCTTATTTTACTAAAATATAACATAAATAACTATCATGTCAAGTTTCATTCATTTAAAAGATGGTCATCTCAAAATCTCGTTTTTTTGGTTGATTTGGCATGAAATGACCTTATGAGATTTTTTTAAATTTTTGGACCATGACCATAATAGGCAAGGCCTGAATCTAAAAAAAAATATAGGTGTGTGGGTAGACTCAGGAAAAAAAAACGATTTGGCAAGTTTCTAACACTCCAGCTTATTAAAATTTTATAATATAGGGAAAATATTTATAATCATTTTCTAAAATCAGATTTTGAGTATTCATATTCTTATAATACTAATAAAGGAATATTTGAAATTTAAATTTACTCAAAAATGCCAAGAATAATCCTACTATTAACAAGAAGTATAACAGAATCTATTTAAAATGAATGATTGATTTATAAAGTTTACTTTATATTTTAATTTAATTTTAAAAACTTTTTTTATATTATGTCTTTTACTAGCTAAAACCTAGAGCATGCAAACTTTCAATTTTAAAGTTTTTTTAAACCTAGGCTTGAGGTAAATGTAAAAAAGTCATATATAAATTATATACAATTCCCCAGTTAATAGGTTAAATGTTATATACACTTTTAAAGAAATCTTAATAAACCATAAAATTTGAGGTTTATGATGTTCTATTTTAGATTTGATAAAAATTAATTTAAAAAAATTACTCCCAATTATTAAATTATTTGCAACAAATTAAAAAAAACCTCATTTTATTATAAATAATATAAAATTACAATAAAATCTATTATAAGTATAAAAACTTTGTAATGTTATCAGTCAACTTTGATTCTATTGATGATATATGTGTCAATATATTAGGTGCTATTATGTTGAGCTTTTGATCATCATTGTCAGGAATTAATATATCAGGAATTTGTTCTTTATTAGGATCACTTTCATTGTTATCATTGACAAAAGGTTTATTTTTAATTTTAGAAACTTTTACATTCTCTTCATATTTTAATTTAAAATTTGCATAAAGAATTTCAATTTTATCATTATCTGAAACTGCTTCTTGTTTAAATTCTTGAATATCTTTATTATTTAAGGATGATAAACTAACTTGTTTTATGTTATTATTTGTAATGTTGACTTCATTAATATTTTGAACATTATCAAAAAATTCAGATTTGGAAGTATTTAAAAATGAAGTCTCGGGCATATATGTTATGTTTTTCGAAACATTGTAATTATCAAAAATAAATTTTTTTGGTCTTCCTCTTCTTTTTTTTATATGCATAGAATGTTTTGTACTATATGTATCTTCATCTGGGTATTTTAAATGTTCTACAGAAAAATGTCTCTTTCTAGTATTATAAACTGTTTCTGATTTAATACCAATATTATCTGAAGAATTTGTTAAATCTGGAGCAATTTTATCATGCAAATCTGTATTTCTGTCACATTTTAAAGATAAATATGGTTTTTCGTATATGTTTTGAGTATTAACAACTCTTTTCTCGATAATGCCTTTATATTTTCTACCACGTTTTTTGCCCACAATAAGCTTTCCAGACTAAATAAAAGTTATATATTTTAAAATATCAAATTATTAATACTCTATTTCTATAAACACAATGGCTAGCCATATCGGGATTTGAAGAGTTTTGTAATAGGTTAGGTATGGGGCTTTCATCATTTTCTTCATATTTAGAAGCCATTGATTCTCGCCATTTATATAAATCGGAAAATTTACTGGATGCTTTGATATCCCCTTCATTTGATGAATAATCAGTGGAAATATTTAAATCTCTCACCATTTCATCTAAATTTTCAATAAACTTTTCATATGCTTCCCATTTTCGGCTCAAATTTTCCAATTGAAATTTACTTAAATTTTCTTCATCACATAATATCATAATAGTGTTATTCGTCATTTACTTTATTTTATATATTATCAAAGATATTGATAAACATATAATTACTGTTTTTAATAGTATATCAGGTTTTAAATAATATAAAAAATCAAAAATTATATGGAGAAAATTAAATTTTAAATTTGATTTTATAAAGATTTTAAACTTCCTATTAAATAAAATTATAAAAATAAAATCATTGTATTATATAATTAATTTTTAAGTTGTTTTGTTAAATTACTAATAATTACTTTTATAAAAATTTTATTAAATCAATACTATAAATAGAAGACCATATAGATCCACGAGAGTAAATTAGAAATTTTGATCTTAATAAGATAAATATTCTGAATTCAAAGAGAAAACCCTAATGAATTAAGGGTTAAATTACTAAGATAAGTAGGTTTAGCTCAATCTGAAATATATTGTAATAAGATAAATATTCTGAATTCAAAGAGAAAACCCTAATGAATTAAGGGTCAAATTACTAAGATAAGTAGGTTTAGCTCAATCTGAAATATATTGGTATTCGTATGCGATATACCCTTATTGTGTATATAGTCATTGAAACTTTTTATACATTACATAAATAATATCAGTGACTAAGTGTCGATAGAAGTATAAAAGGCATTCTTCCTTTGTCATTTATTTTATAAAATTATTAGGTATTAATATATTTTCATACTACATTATGCTAATAAAATTAATACTACTTCTACAATGTTAAAAGATTTAATATTAACGCTAAAAAATAATATTATTTTTATTGTATTGAAAAAATATATATATAGGGAAGCAAGTTGAATATTCATTTACATTTTAATATATTATGAAAAATAAAAAATGTTCCAATATGAAAAACAAAATTTTTTTCAGTGTAATTTGTTTATTATCTTAAAAAAAAATCAACGTTGAAGAGCCAAATATAAAATTACCTTTCTAAAAATAGTTTATATTGATAGATTAAAAAAAAAATATTTTATTGTACAGATAATTTTAAACAAAAAAATTTATATAAATAATCTTATGCAGGGGCGTCGCTAGCCTTTACAATCTCAGAGGGCTCAACTAAAAAAAAAATTACGAGGGGCTTCGCCCCCATACTCCAATTTGCGGGTATTCGGCTCGCTTCCAGCATTCGGTCGGGTTTTATATTAATATATTATACATTTTTAAAATATGCTAACTTTAGACAATTATTCTGAATTTGATATTTTGTCATTTATAATATTTTGTATACAAAATAAACTAGCATATAAATAACTAATACAATACAAGACATTTCTAAAAATATTATTTAACACAAAATCTATTTATTACAGTATAAAATCGATTGCTGATATAAAAAAATTTTGCTTAAAGAATTACAAGTGATAAAAAAGATTAGTTAATTCATCATATGCCTTATTTGATAATGGTTTTTAAAAACCACATAAGGTTATATAATTCTAGCAAGATACATTGACTAAAGGTCATGAAACTAATATAACTCTCTGTTACCATTTTGGACAATGTTTTATAGAATGGACTAATAAGGAAAAATTTATAGGCTAAACCAAATCAACAATTCTTGAAGGATAAAATATAAACGACCAATCCAAATCATAAAACTATATGGTGGCTAGAAATTCCTCTTAAATGGCATTATGGAAGCTAGATAAGTAATCGAGAAAATTTTTGTGAGATATTAAATTTCTTTAAGATTATCTTCTATTTTTATTGATATATAAACGACTACACAGTTGACCATTATTGCTTATCTAAAATATGCAATCATATGCTCTCAGCAGCTATAGTAATAATCTTAAATTACATAGACACACAAATAATAGATGCTGGTTAATTTGCAGTCATAGCCATGACACTCACGATGGTAACCCATATCAGAATTTATTATGTTAGATAAATTGATAAAACAAAAATAGTAAAAATCTTTAGAAGAGATAAGCCATAATGGTCAACTGTGTAGTCGTTTATATATCAATAAAAATAGAAGATAATCTTAAAGAAATTTAATATCTCACAAAAATTTTCTCGATTACTTATCTAGCTTCCATAATGTCATCTAAGAGGAAGCTCTAGTCACCATATAGTTTGATGATTTGGATTGGTCGTTTATATTCTCTTCTTCAAAAATTGTTGATAAATTTTTCCTTATTAGTCCATTCTATAAAACATTGTCTAAAATGGTAACAGAGAGTTATATTAGTTTCATGACCTTTTGTCGCCTCATAGGCGTAGCCAACGGGGGGCAAGGGGAAATCCCTTCCTTCAGAAATTTATCACTTTCTGTAAATATCATTTTTAGCTAATAAATAATATCCCCCTAAGTCCCCTCCCCCACTCCTTGACCCTCAAAAATGTATGCATATATCTTAAACAATAATTTGAAAGAAAGAATGTAAAGGTTGATATTTTTTTATAAAACTATTCATCATAATTTATACATTTTTGGGAAAATAAATTTATAAATATATAAAATGAACCAAAAATGTTTTTTAATAAATGGAATATAAGCTAAAGATAAGTCTTAAGTGAAATGTTATAATTATTAATAATAGATCTATAAAATTACTAAATAATATAATATATGAAATATAATTTTTCATAAAGTGAGTAATTTTAATTTATTTATCTTAATAAAACTAAAATATAATTATAAAACTATTGATAAAATTAAATCATATTAAATATAAAAAAACTAAAGGACAATAACAGTGAAATATTATATGTCGTAGATTTACAGTATATCTAATTTTATCAATTGTCATATGACAATCAAATAATTTTACCAATATAGCGAGAAAACTAAAAAATATTGATAAGGAAATCAGATAATATCTTTTACAGACATTGTAACTTGAATAATATGAAGATTAATTTTTAATATTTTATTATTTATAATAAATAGATGACGTTAAATAATTGAATGCAAATTGTTGCTATATTTATTATCAAGAGCATTGATTAGTAAAATTTGTTAAATTATAAACTGTAATATATTCTCTAACTATCAAATATGTCTGTAAAAATGGAATTTTACCTAGTATTTTGTAACTAATTCCATATATAGAGGAATATCAACTATATATCTACTTACTTATAAATAAATTTCTTATAATTGTTTGGAATAAATTAATACCATGTTTTTATATTAATGTATATACAAGTAATTTATTATTTTTAATTCCCCCCCCCCCCCCCCTTAGGAAAATCTTGGCTACGCCTATGTATAGCCTTATATTGCTTTTAAGAACCATTATCAATTCCCTTTTTTATCACTTGTAATTCTTTACGCAAATTTTTTTTTTATCAGAGATCGAAAATATTTTATACTGTAATAAATAGATTTTGTACTGAAAAATATTATTTTTAGAAATGTCTTGTATTGCTTTAATTATTTTTATGCTAGTTTATTTTGTATGCAAAATATTATAAATGACAAAATATGAAATTCAGAATAATTGTCTAGAGTTAGCATATTTTAAAAATGTACCGCAAATTGGGGGGGGGGGAATGGGTTTTTAAAAAATTAGTAAAAATCAATAAAACAAATGTAAAAGTTTAAACGCCATCAAATAAGAATCAGAAGCTATCCAATAAAGTATATTATCACGAAAAAAGTCATCTAATACCCCTTACCATGAAAAAAATTGTTCGAAGATTTTATACACTATTAATATTTAAGAATATAAATTTTTTAGAGTTCCATCATATTAGTATATTAAAAAATCAATATTGGAATTAGATTTTAATCATAATAAAAATTATTAATATTATTATTAGCTAATTAATATTTCGTACATAATTGGGTTTTTACAGACTTGATACTTATAGTTATATTCTAATCAATAATCTTAATCGTGTTAGATATTTAATTATATGTAAATGTTCATTTTTAATACCTATAATTTTACGAACACATTATGTAAATCCCTTTATTTTCAATACTTTTGAAAACATGATAGTCATCATCTCATCAAGTAATATGTAGTATCGATTTTTCTCGTGAAATAATTTCGAATCAATATATTTAAATTTTTTTCCACAAATTTTTTTGAAAATTATATAACTATCATAAATGTAATGTAGCTCAGTGCCTAATAGGATAATTTAATTTTTTTTAATAATTATATAATCATAACGTTGTTATGCTCTGTTAGATTGAAATGGTTATCATATATCATGATGATAGCCTAATTTATGAATTGGAATGATTCTAACAACTGTACAGCTCAATATACCTATTCTTTTAATCTTGCTTATAAGCTCTTATAAAATTACAAGGATTACAAATTTAGATTACGTAGATAGTGATAATTTCTTATCAAACAATATATATCAAAATACAGATTATGACAATTCTGAAAATTTAATTTATGGTAAGTTTATAATTGATTAAATTGAAATTGTTCAGTTGTATTTGATTAAATTAAAATAACTAAGTTCTATAAAATATAATAATAAATTTTTTGATATCATTTATACAAGAGTGTTCTAATCATGATGATTGCCAAGAAGGAAAAATATGCTATACAAGTAATTTTCATTTTATATCTTTGTAATTAAAATCTATTAATTTAATTTTTTCTCTCTGAAATTAAAGATCATTATTTTTAAAATGAAAAAAAAAAAATTTATTTATTTTCCATTATTTTTGCTAAAGTTAGGTTATGGATAAGAAATATACAACAATTACAATTTTTTATTACTTTTTATCTTGGAAATTTGAAAGTATTGTTATTATTTTTATTTTAACATTATTTTAACCCTTTATAGCATAGGTGGGATTATGAATATCCAGTCATTTAAAAACTTTATTACTCAAGATTCTTTCTATATTTTTGCCTGGATATTTTTAGTAACTCAATATTTTTATGTAAATTATATATGTGCAAAATTATTTTTAAATTTGTATAGTCCATGAGATATAATGGTTTTTTGGAGCTTGAGGTCTACATAGACCCTATGGTCATCTGTAGTGTTGTTAAACGGCTCATTTTGAGCCGATTTTTTAAAACGGCTAACTCAATATTTTAGCCAGAAAAATATTGCCTAAGCCTCGAGATTTCGATAATATATGCCTAGACCTTTGTTCCTTCTATAAGCAAAATCTTGAGGCTTGCGTAATATTTTTCTGGACAAAATATTGAGTTAGCCGTTTTTAAAAATCGGCTCAAAACGAGCCATTTACACTAGTCATCCGTATAACTTTTTTCATTTCTGGATTTTTATACATTATTTTTATTGATTTAAAATTATATTATATTAATATTTGAGCCTTCAAACATTTGTCATCATCAATATATTTCTATTTATTTCATATTGTTACATTATATAATAAGTTGTCATTTTTTTGTATAATTTGCAAAATTTATCAGAAGGTTTTAAAATGACAATAAAATTTTATGGAGTTTATTTAATATAATGTTTAAATTTTATTCTAAGATATAGCAGGGCATCCAGAATTTCGTGCTATTTTTTTCCCCTGTACTATGAAGGGTTAAAATAAATAAAATCTTTTTATTGTGAAAGTTCAAATACAGAAATAAGGGTCATGCAGAAGTTGAACTCCCATTTTTAAATTTATTTACTCATAAAAAATAATTTACTATATATTATAAGAATCAAAATATTTTTTTAAACAAAATCAATTTATGAAAGAAAAAAATAATAAGAAAAAAAGAGATAAAGAAAGAAAACAAAAATAGAAATGAAAGGATTGAAACAAGTAAAGATGAAGATGAAATGATAGAAAATTTTAGAACCCAGATTAAGCCAACATATATTTATCAAAAGACTTTCCTGGACTTTTTAAAAGAGATTCTGTTTCCCGTTTTTATAATATTTTTTAATCCTCATTCTTAAGGTTTAAATTCTAAACTCTATTAATAAGAATAAAATTAACTTTAGGTGGAGGGGGCACTTAAAAATGATAAACTTACTAAAAAAAAAGAAAATTCTTCAAAAGTATCAATGAAATTTTTTTAGGAATTGACCATTCACCTAATGACACCATACAAGTTCCAAAGTTTTTAAAACTTTAACGTTACCTAACCAAATGACTGTTTTGGCCACGTTTTTTTGTGATTTTCGATAAAGTTTGCAAATGTTTTGTTTTTGAATGTAGCCTTATATAAACCATGTAAAATGAATTCAACATAATTTTGAATATACTTATAAATTAGTTTTACATTTGTTAGCATTTGGTCTGATTTATCTCGATTCTCAAACATTCTAAAAAGGGCTTTTTGACCCCCTATAAAATTTTAAGAGAAGCTTCCGCTTCCGGTTTTTATATTTGACCCTATTTCGGGGTTTAGCTTATTTTTAAACCTAAAAAATGAAAAAACACTATTTTTAATATCATAACAAATTATATTCCTATAGAAATTTGTTTTTTTAATTAAAAAAATTATATTTTTCCAATTTCATTAACCATCATCATCGTTTATTTATAATATCTTCTTCCATTATATTTATTTTAAAAATGAATATAATTTTGACTCTCTAGTTATATCTGCTAATACAAAATTTATTGATTATTTTTTCGTTTGCCTTCTTCGTCCAAATGGTTAAAAAAAGGTTTGTCAAATATATATTTTTTTTAAAAAAAAGAGAACCCTTAATTAAAATATACAACATTAAAAGCATTATTAGTATAGTCTCTAACTTAGGTTAACAATATTTCCCTATAGGCCTATCCAATCACTACACAATAAAATATAACTAAATTTTTATCCGCTATTTTGATATATCGGATACAGATACAGACGTTTAAAAAAATTGGTCGTTTCGATATATAAAAAAAGAAGTTACATATCCTTAATTATTAGGGTTTTCAGTAAGAAGGGAAGCTAAGGGTAAGGATTATTTCAACTACGACAATATTTACGACCTGGCCGGAATTATTTTTTAAAATACCCGAGCCGGGCTATATTTTTTAAAATTAAATATTTTAAATCGCCATTATTAGATATATAAATTAAAAATAATTATAATATATTAAAGAAATCGGGGGTCTAAAATTATAAAACCCGGGCCGGGCCGAAAATAATTTTGTTTAAAAAATCCATGCGGGGCCGTGTAAATGTTGCCTCTGCAGGTCTCTGATATTTATCTTTCATAATCAATAACATGAAGAATCAGCTGCCTTGGGCTGTTATTATCTTCATAAATAACGCTGCTGCTGAGACATAACTTTATTAAGTAATTTATTTCAGTTTAAAATTCAACCTTCCTTTTTTGGCACATAAATCCTCATTTGATTTTTTTTTTCATTTAAAAAAGTCGAATTCTTGTACTATAAGGAATATACCTTAACTAATAATCTTAGGATATAGAAGTACATATATACTAACTACGGTCCTAGGGCCTATTTTTAGTAAGCACGAAGGAAAAACCTTAGATCCTTTTGAAATCCTACACCTGACACATGGGGAATAGGGGTATGACGCAAGATCGTCATTGAAATTGGAGGGGTATCAGGAAGAAGTGAAGTAGATAGACTGATTTTGATTTTCTTTTTTTTGCTAATTTTAAATAGGTAGGCACAGGGAATAAGAGGGGAATCTGCTAATATAGATTTTTTTTTCCTGGTATATATCACTTCAAAAGAAATTAATTTGCATATCTCTTTAGTAATATTATAAATAAAATACTGTTTTACTACAACTTTAAAACAGAAATTATTTATTATGAAAGCATAAGTCGGTCACATTGTAAAACCTTGTAAAATGACCCTTTTAAAATTGTTCAGTAGAGGCAAAAAACATTTTTTTAAAATATTTCAATAAAAATTTAATAATTATTTGATAGAAAACATGTTATCATTATTATAAAGTCATTTATTATATATGCCTCATATTTTTTTTTCTTAAAATTTTTCATTATTAATAATAATAGTCAGTTTTTGGGATGATCTTATGCACCCCAATCTGATAAAAAAAACCATTTTCATTCGAGTTTTTAAGTGATGATAGAGGACCTATAAATAAACACATTTCTTTGAAAAAACACTAATTACGACTTGCAATGTGACCTGCTAAGTATAGTTGGATAGTGGCTAAATGTCGGCTAATTTGTCTCAATCTACAGACGAGTGTCGGAGAATATCAGTTAACATTAAGACCTTTTAATTTATTTTACTTTCTTATAAATTTGAGCTGATATATTTTTAAGAAAAACTCAGAGGTTAAAATGATAATTTTTTGCCAAAAACTCGGTTTAACCGATATTAACCGATATTTTAGCAGGCTAATAAAAATTGATCTAAACGTTTAAAAATATAGTAATTACTCAACTAATACTTATAAAACAATTTACGACAATTTACCATAGAATATCTTAATTTTTCTTAAATTTATGTATGTTATATGCATTCTTTCTCTATCCAGATACGCAAAATATTATATTTTAACGTTCTAGGTTTTAAATCGCTAAAAACAAAGAAAAATTGGGAATTTCTATTATAAATCTCCTAAAAGCAAATTAAAATATATAATTAATAAAAGGAAAACAAACCTTTGTAAGTTTTAAAAAATCGCTAAAAATAAAGGAAATCATAAATGTTCCCAATTCTGGGAACAACTATGATATTTTATTTATTTGTAGTCAATAGTCAATATAAATACGAGTGTTTTTCCTTAGCATCTATTAATATTATTTTCAATATTACTTTTGATATTTTCTATGAGATATGAATGGATTTCCAATTTTTAGCGATTTAAACCTATCCCATTTTATCGCTAAATTTTTGTAAAAGTAGCTTTAGGACGACACCAATGTTTTTTTTGGTTATAAAAATGTATGATAGATTTTGATATAAAATGATAGTACCAAAATAAGTGGTGTATTATTTTTTTTTCTCTATTCAGACCCACCATTTAAAATTTTAAATAGGTAAAAAAAAAAACTAGTGCACTGCATAGGAATGAATTGTAATAATTATTTCTATTATAATTGTTGTATTTAAAAAAAAACAAATAAAATTTTATTTTAGTGATAATATGTTATTTATTTAAACAGCTCTTTTTTTTTCTTTTTCTGAAACTTATAAAAATTTTATTTTTCAAGAATAAATTTTTATATTTTTTTTAAGAACTAACAAGCCCTAAATGCCAATGTACTGCATTAAAAATAGAATAAGCAATATTAAAAATGTTCTTGCAAATAATGTTGTGGGTCGATTTTTAAAAACGGCTCGATTAAGATTTTAGCCAAAATAATATTATGTAAGCCTCGAGATTTGGCAAATAGATGCCCAATTCGGCTACCTATGAGCAAGTCTCTAGGCTTATTTAAGAACACTACTTGCAAGATATATTATTATTATAATCCAAAATTAAAGAAATCATAATGATGAGAAATTTTTAGTCGCTAAGATACAATAAGGAATAGTAAAAAAAATAGATAAGAAGACATGATAATGATTAGAATAAGAAAAATGCGAAAAATTTTGTAATTCTAGTTAAGAGTCCTTCAGGGTTGGCCCGAGATCCCGAAAGTGAGTAGAGGCTACGCATAAAATCATATATAAA